ATAGAAGGTATGGGGGCACACCATGAAGAGATTACACACTCAAAAGAGACAAACACAAATGGACCCATGGAGCACTTCACTGGTCCAATTAAGATGGGAAATATTCTCTCTCACCAGGCTTCTTGGAAAAACTGTTAAAAAGACACTGACTTAAAAAACAAAAACAACTATGTGTCTGCAATCTGATTTAAATGCTCTAAAATCTTACATAATCTATAAGATACAAGAAGCAGAGAAGAGGGTTTTGAGGAGGGTGAAAAAAACATACATGCCCTAGGCTTTCCAATAACAGACTGGAGCAGCACATGCTAAAAGAACAACGCATAGGTAAAGTCATTTAAGTTTAAAATTTGTTTGATTTAAAATTTTAAATAAAGGATCATGAAAAAAATGTGCCATGGCATAATGTGAATATCAAGCTTTATTTTTTTATAAACCCTTGAACTATATCACATCAAAAATACAAGAGGATTACATCTTATCATTGGTAATAATTTGTGACACTAATCTGAACCCATTAGGCCATTTCTCATTTAACTTCATGGTTCCAATCCTTTTTTACTATCATAATTAAGATTACAGAAAACTGCAAGGACTACTTCTGTAACAGTTATTGGACTTTTTTTTCTTTTTAATCATTTCTTATTTTAAAAAATAAGACAGATCTGAGGATTTCTTGAACTAAACTGGCACCCATCCTCCATGCCTACCCTCAGGAATCTGAAGGCCACATGATAATCTACAGGTTTAGTTGCAAACATTCATAGACAAAAAAATCAGAAACACATAGGACCACTGATGGATATACTCAATACTTACTAAAATATCTCATTTCAGAAAGAATAATCCCTGCTTGAGAAGCAGAATACCAGTAATGAAATTATTCTTAAACCCACCAATGCCATGATTCGTACCAACAGCTACAGCACCTGGCACATAGTAGTAAGCACTTAAAAATCTGTTAATGAATGAATCATTGACCAACGTTAGGTAGGTTACTCAACTACTTTATTTAATACTTTAACTTTCTGTATATAAAAGTAGGCCTTCCCTGCCCTAATTTTCTCAAATTCAGTCTTTGGGTTGGTCAAGGCACTCTGAAACTCAGACATCAAAACAATCAGAAATAAGGTGCTTCCATTTCCTGCAAACGTCATATAAAGAAGTTACACCCATGTTGAGGCTCATTTCATGCTCATCCTAAATATCACTTCCCCAGGAAGGTGCCTCCCAACCACTCCAAGAGACATCACACCCTGAATGCCTTATTTTATCCTTGTAGAACATACAACAACGGTACTTATATAATATCTGTATTGCTCTTTGTTAAATGTTTGGCTCCTATTCTAGGCTTTGGACATCCTGAAGGTGAAGGTTATATGGGTCTTGCTAATGACTTACTTCCTGCACCTAGTAATGCTTGGCACATAAGTGTCTAGTAAATATTTATTCAATAAACATTTGGGAACAAAAAGCCAGCCAATAATGTTCCTTCAATGTACTCAAACAGTTGAAGCTTGGAAAGCTAGGCAATGAACATCACACTGTCAGAAAATCACCACTCTCAACACAAAGCTAAGAAAAATTTTTCCCTAAGTAAGTGACAGAAGTAATAGTGTCTAGGAGCAGTGGGAAACACCTGTAATCCCAGCTACTGTGGGGCAGGGGACTGAAGCAGGAGGATTGCTAGTTCAAAGCCAACTTCAGGAATTTAGCAAGACTTTGTCTCAAAATAAAAAAGAAAAAGGGTTGGGGATGTAGCTCAGTGGTAAAATGTCCCTGGGTTCATTTACCAGTACTACAAAACAACAAGTAGGAGGAAGAGGAAGAAGAGATGTATTATAATTTCTGTGTTCCATTTCTAGCTTTCAAAACACTTTCATTATCTGTGTGGTCTTACAACTGAAAAGTCTCCAAACAGTTCATATAGAACTTTCTCAGATTTGGTTTTTAGAGGTCTGACAGCTATATAACCAATATATCCAGTTTTTATAAATGTCTTTAGAGGCTATTTGGGGATTTTTGTTTCAGTGCTCATTGTATAATATTCCCTTTACAAACAGGTCTGCTGGAACTCAGTCTGAATATTTTTCCATTTTTAAAATTTCAAAGCACTGAAATAAATACCAATTTCAAATTAAACTCACAGGCAGTATAGTATATGGTAGCTCTATTTTCTCAAAAAACAAAGGAAGGCAACCTGAGATCCTCTGCTAATTGCCAAAGGGACTTCTCAGGGACTTGGTGGTAAGTTAATCCATATTTCTAAGGTTCCAAAGTCAGCTTCCAAAACCTGTTAGGAGACGCACAATCTTCAAAACTTGGTTGTGACAGTAGGAGAAAAATGCTTGCATAAACAATAAAACAAACACTGATAATTTAAAAAGAAGTTGGATCAGGGCTGGGGTTGTGGCTCAGGGGTAGAGCGCTCGCCTACCAAGGGCAAGGCCCTGGGTTCTATCCTCGGCACCACATAAAGATAAATAAAGTATTATGTCCAACTATAACTAAAACAAATAAATAAATATAAAAAAAAAAGATTAGGCTAGAAGTTGGATCAGAATTTGGTCAAATGCTACTATAATGGAAATACTATAGTTCCCAAGTCTGAAAGAACAGAAGGTTAAATGGGACTCATGTGGACTCCCATTATCTGCTTTCTTTCTTCATTGCTGGACTTAAAACCATTCTTCATTCTAGAGACCACAAACACCTTATACTGTGACTTTAAGAGCTTAGATTCCTAAAGTCCATATAACATATCAAAGCCAAGAAAAGCACCTTGAAATAAAGTGAGCAAAACAAAGCATCTGTTTTTAGAAAGAGTTTGTTCTACTTTTCCAAGGAATTCTGTTTGGAAATCTGTGTTTGCAATAACATAATATTTAATAGCTCCATCAAATTTTATCAATGCCAAAGTAGTTTGATAGACACTATCTAATCTGATTCACATAATAATCTTGTGAAATAGGGAGGCCAAGGATTTTATAGATGAAGAACATGAGGTTCCAAGAAATTAAGTTTCTTGAACAAGGCTCCTAACTTAGAAAGTCAGAAGAACTAAGGCTTGAAGTGTTTGATTCCTACACCACTGCTCTTTCTGAAGAAAGATACCACCCTGGGTCCATCTTAAGCTGCTATTCATTCTTGATAACCCATGAAAAGAAGATAGGAATAGCTATAACTTAGAATATGGAGAATCGTATCTAACAAATCCATCAAAATAGTGGTTACATTCCTACTGAGTCCTTAATGGTTTCAGGTCTTAGAGACCTTATAAAATGATGCTTTACTACTCTGGGTCTTGTATTGAGCTCTTATAGATAGGATTTGGTAACAAGAAAGGGGAAATGAAACATGTTTTCTCCTCTTATGAAAGACAAGGGACCTTCTGAGAAGCATTAGAATCTTTAAATCCATTCCTCCACAGGCTAGAATGAAATAAGGGCTAAAAAGGAGGATAAAACTCAAAAGCACAGTCTTGCCTGTTGAGGAAGGTAAGAGTAACAGGATGAAACCTCAAAATGAAAGAAATGCTGAATGTGGGTGAGGGTGGGGGATTTTTTTGAGTCTAACTTTTCTTTTATGAGTGACTCAGTTACTTGATAGGGGAAGAGTTCAATTCTTCTTGCAAAACTACCTTCACCATCAGTGAATCTTAAACATTAGTAGAGAAAAAATTGACATTAAGCTCTTTGACTCCCAAGTCTCATTTTTTTTTTAAATCAAACCAAGATTGAGCCATATAATAGACTTAACTCTACTCTTTGGCAGCAAACACAGTTTATTCTACAAACTTGCTATATTCTTTTAAGTTGGTGGTTTTCACCCTTGGAAACAAAATGAAGTTTCTAAAATACACTAGTGCCCCAATCCGGCTCCAGACCTGTGCAATCAGGTATCTTAGAGTGGGAACTGGCTGATTCTAGGACTTAGCTAAAATTAAAAACCTCTAGTCTTAGTGCTTTGTTATTCATCATCAAAGATGATGTCGACAGAATTCATTTTATATTTTTCTATAGGAGAAATATTCAGAGAACTAGGACTAAAAGTCACAGTGCCCTGAAACATTAGAAATCTACAAGCTGAATGAGTTTATTGCTTTGATATAAACAGATATTATAAAAGTTACTTAAATATCACACTGAATAAATACTAGCCATTCAGGAAAAAAATGTCATATAACTATATAACACTTATTTCCACCAGCATATGTAGTAAACAAAGTTGAAACATTTATCTTGCACTGAACAGTAGCTGATTTTGTTAAATATTTGGTTTTTTTCCATAGTTAAGAAAAGGCAAATAAAGAAACCAGAAGTACAAGACACCATATTACACAGGTATATGAAATCAGTTCAACAGGGAGTTTCCATGATCCAGAGGACAAAGGGCTTCTCAGAAACATTACTGCAATCATATTGCTCATTTCTTACTCAACACAGTAGTACTAAAAAGGATGTTGCTATGTTCCCACCTTAACTGCCTTATGTGCAGTTCCTGTGACAGCTGGAGTCAACAAAGATAAGTTTGGCTTCTGGAAAAAATGAAATGCCAACCTTCTTTATTTTACACTTGCTCTAAAACTTTTCCATATTATCTGATTATAACAATTTTGCAATAGATGGTATATTGGCTACAGCTAATGAGTAACTAAACCTGGTCTAAATTATATGTCTAAGCAAATATAGCAATAAAAACTGTTTTAACAAAACGTTTTAAAAGTTAAAAATTTCACATTCAAAGAGGGTTTACATTAAAAAAAAAAAAGCAAGACAATCCAAGTTGAATTTAATATGCTAATTAACCTCCATTGCCTAGCTGGGAAAATAATGTAAGATTCCTATTCTATGAGATTTCCTGGTTAAGAGGAAATTAATAGTTTGTACAATAAGGATAAGGAAATATTAAAGGTTAGGAAAGAATTCTTATTTTGTGTTACTATTTTTAGGTCACAGGAGCTACAATCAAAAACAACACAGTGAGTGGCATACACTTACATGATTTATTGTAGATTGAACAGCCTTAACATAATGGTTTAGGTCTCGATCCATTATAGCAAATTCAACCATCGCCTTGTCCATACTATATTCGCTACTCACTTCAGCTGAAAAATAAAAGAGATTGAAATTATTAATTTCCACTTAAAATACTATATCTACCTGGAAACAGTTACACCAATATAATCCTTATCAATTTTGGAAAAGTATTACATATTTTTTAAAAATCTTCTCAATATAGGCCTGTTTCATTCAAAATTGTAAAAATACACAGAAGAAAACAACTCAAAGGTAGTTTGGGAGTGGAATGAAAAACAGATTTGTTCTCAGGAGGTCCTTTCCAAGCTTCACCACTTATCATGATCCTAAATCAAGACACCTCTCTCAGTAACTTAGTTCCCTCATCCCTTAAAACAACCCAGTCGTACATCCATCACACAAACCTCATAGTTACAGATCAAATAAGGAAGATTTCCATGCTCCTAACAATGGCTGGATCATTTGGATTGATTCTATTGGGAGGCGGGGTTCCTTAAAAACAAGAGTCCCACAGTAGTAAGAAATAACCAGGGAAAATCAAAGACGAGAAGTAGGACAACAAGACACCTAAATCCCAGCAAGCTGGGATCCCTGCTCCTCAGTATGAAGGTAAACCAGAAGCAATCCTGCCCTGTTCTTTGGAATGGCAGGGAGGTTCATCTTGCCCATTAAGCAAAAGAGTAGGGGAGGGAAAAGGGAAGAGGAAAAGAACTTGTTTCTGAAAAACTGTCCACAAGCTAGCCCTCCTGGATTTGCTCGCTGGGATCCCCTAACCTGAGTGGCCCCAGGACCCTATGCTCTGATTCTGGTGCAGAATGATCTCAGACTAATAGTTCCCACAGGTCTGTGGCAGAAGAAAACATAACTCCCTGGAGAAGACACTTTCATTTAGGGGTCAAATAATCCCCAGGAATAATTTTTAAGGATACTGAGGAGATCACAAGGGAAAAGGTTAAAACAAAAAGCCATACATATCCAAAACAGATAAGAAAACAAGCGACCAAAAGTAAGAATCAATAGAAACAGATCCACAAATGTTCCAGTTATTGGAATAACCTATCAATTACAGTATGAAGCAACTGCATGTAAAAAATAAAAACATCCTCAAGAACAGGTGACTATTAAAAGTGATTGGAGGTTGGAAAAGCAAGGCAATATTTTTAAAAGTGCTTTTAAACTGTTTCTCCCCCTCAATCCAAATAAATTTATAACTTAGCAGATCAGGATAAAATAGAAAACAAAGGATCATAAGAATTTGAACCTTAAAAAAAAAAAGAAACTCAATGAAAATAAAGTTGAATCACTTAAATCTTATTTGGGAATGTATATATTCAAACTATCCCTTTACTTTAGCTCACACAATTGTTAGTATTTCTTGTCTGCTCTGAGGAACAATATCACAGATCATTGCAGGTCATGGAGAAATGTAAAATCCATTCATTTGGCTTTTAAAATTTATCTTCCTAAACCTTTAAATTATGTTTTAATTTTATAACAATTATAAGCACAGTCATACATCTCTTGGATTTATTTATTTATTTATATTTTAATATCCAGACTTCACAGAGTATATATATAGCTCAATGAGTTTTTCTTTGGGATATGGGGTGTTTATATAAGAAAAATATGTATTTCCCTACCCAAATTAATACATTTTTAACAAAATAGGGTTTGAGAAAAGTCTCAAGTCATATTGTTAGACAACTAGAGCCAGTGGATTAACATTTTGAAAATGTCTGAATGTCAACAAAGGTAACATGCTGCCCAGACATTGCCAATATCAAGAAGTACACACTGCACATACATAGAATCCGTGTTAAGAATCATATTAATTGTCAGATGATCAGAAAGATAATTTTAAACCATTTATATCCTACTATAACGATATGCAACTTATATTTATAGGCATTTAGTTACATTTCAATACATGGGTTAGAAGGTTTTGGTTGACCTATAGGGTTTTTTTTTCCACTTAAGATAATTTTTAAAAAGGGCTTCTGTTTCACAAAGCTTTATCTAATTAAAAGAAAGTTCCTTTTTTTCTTAATGGAATCAGTGCATTTTATGCATATTAGGTATTAAATTCTGAAACTGGGACCAGAAAATGGGTAAAGCTAGTAATCTGAGCAAAGACTAAGAACATAAAGTACTTTCTCAAAAGTCTAATATCAGAAATGTCTCCAAATTAAACAGAAATCAATGAAAGGATCTACTGGGGGCAAAAGTCTGAAGCATAAGAAATCAAATTTAGAGGGCTAAAATCAGTGGGAATTTACATATTGTTGGCAATTTCCCTCTGGATTAAATGAATTAATTTTCTAAAGCACTCAGAATGTGCCTGAGACTTAAATGCTATAAAAGTATTTACAAAATAAAACAAATGGGTTGATGACTTTCATTAACAAGGTCTCACAGATGGTATCAAGTCCTGAACCAAAGAGCACTTTAAAATATGAGGCCCAAGAGACCTTCCTGCAAAGGAGAAAAGGAGCAGTGGCTGTGGCAGGGTTTCATGATATGAAGAAGAAAGACTCTTTAGAGGCCAACTGTGGCCCTCAGGCAAGCTGGGCTAAGACTCTAGGCCCCAGGAGGATTGGGACCAGCTGAAGAACATAGGTGAAGAACAGTACAACTTGAGGCAACAAGGGAAGCTAAAACACCAGAAAGGATCAGGAAGGTAACCCCAAAAAGAACTGAGAATCATAGCATAGCAGGAAGTGGTGCCCAGCCAAAGAACTTCAGTCCAAGTCTCTTAGTTTGCTGTAGAGAGGGGCTGGAGAGGTAGGCCAGAACTAGAAAAGACTCCCACAACTGTGTCTCAAAGATACAAGTCACATGAGTGTCCAATTCAAACAGTAATCTGGCACAGCCAAGTTAAGAGCATTTTTGTTATTCTTTTTGTTCTTCCTAATAACAATCCTCTGCAATACTAACCTCTTTTTCAAAAGCTGTTTTTTGAGCATGTTTCAGAAACAACAGGCTAGGGAAGGCATAGGGAACCTATGTGTTGCTTTACAGAAGAACTGAGGTGGGGAAAGAGAGTGTAATGTTGCATAAAAAAGACAAACAGTGTCCCTGCAAAACACTTGGAGACTGGGTGGAGGGCGGGGGGATGAGAGAGCTGGGGGGATTAACACAGGCAGAGTTGGCTATTTACTAAAAACTGGCTAGGGAATGGGACAGGAGTAGAGGGATGACCTGTCAGAGGCTTCCTGTGGCTTCATCTGTAGTAGGCATTCCTACCATTAACATGCTCCCACTTTTTCGGAAAGCTCTTCCTGAGAATTTGCACCAAATCCAATCCTACACATCTTTCAAGGACTGAGTCCAAGGCCGACCTGCTTTAAAATTATACCAAGCTAGAAATTAACCTTTGCTTAATTTATCTTAACATGTACACTTCATGTTTGGGTGCCATGAACAATCTTGACTTTCTTGTCTGCATTTGTCTCATTTGTCCAGATTTTAATCCATTTGAGGGTAAGAACAATGCCCCGGTGTTCTTAGGATTCAACAAAGAATTATAGAATTAATTTTCCTTCAAAATTCTTCTAAGGCCATTATTTCTCACAATTAAAAATTAAACTTTCAGAGGCCGGGGCGGCGGGCACGCAGCTAGGCGGGAGGCGGGCGCCCGGAGACGCGGCTGGGGCCCGGG